AGCATTAAGTCCGCCATGTACACATATATGTACTAATGAATAAGAAGACTGTTTTGAAAAAAGTACTAAGAACCATAGCTGTTTTAAATTTAATTATCATTCAATTAACATTGAAATTTTAGAAACAAGTTTAGGTATTTGTTCCTCAGAATTGACTCTATTATGTCTCAATGCATGCTTAGTATAATATATTAGTATCATTATCAAGTTAGTATTATTAAAATATATAAAAATATATATCAAAATTGTGTTTTGATTGCAATATTATCAATGTGCATTATGCATGCAAATATCTGTACATATTAGTTATGCTAAAATGCATAATTTTTTAAAATGTCTGAAAATAGAATAGTAACCCTGAGTGCATTATTGGTATATATCAGTGAACCACCGGTGATGATAAGTGAAGATGAATGCAGGTCAATTGGTCAATCATGATGAATTTGATAAAAATTAACCGCCATAATTTCCAAGGGAAACTGCATAAAGATTGAGCTGATACCCTATTATATATATATGATATTGCTAGTTATGGGGACACCCCTCACTAACAATTCCTTTTCCCCCAATATGTATATATTCACACTTTGTTAGTGCATATAATTAAATATCTTCATTTTTTATCTTTTTACCCCACCCATGCTAATAGACACTATAGGTAGAGCAGAGATAATAATAATGATAATTGAACTGTAATCCTACTTGTACTAACAGTAAACATTATCAGGACACCAGTGAGGGATGATAGGTGAGAATGAAAAGGCAGATCTGTTAGTTTATCATGATGAATACACCTGAAATTCAACACGATTGTTTCCAGGAGAGACCATATGGAGGTCGACCTGAGCTCCACATAGTCCCGTAGCAATATAGGGTATATTGCTAGCAATGGGACTGGTAGTATGCATTACTAATACTATCATCTCCCCCAATAGTGAGGGATAGGATAGATGAGGATGAAAAGGCAAATCAATTAGCCTATAGTGATGAATTTATCAGGAATTTGTTACCTCTTGGCATTTTAATGGTATAAACATATAGTATATGTGATGGTGATGGATACATGTTAGTGTTCACATTGATACCTGTTGCTGAATTTCACCATCATACAATTTGCCACAAACTAAAGTTTCAGTCCATCTATCTGCATGAGTGATGGTTTTCTACTGTGCGTTTTTCAATGCACTTTTTTTTATGCACAACTATGATTTGAAATCAACCTCCAGCAGCAGTATTTCTGATCTAATATGACAAAGTAGCCTTCAAGAAAATAGTATATTCCTTTATAAAAGGCCATCTGCACATCTGCAATTCTTTCATTGTTGTATGTTCTTATTAATTACTGCAGCAGTAGTCACTTAACATCAGGTGAGGTGTATGCTCGTATGCCTCTGTGTTATAAAAAAATTGGCTATTTTTTATCTTACTAACGTATCCTGGTTATATGGACGAACTTGAAAATAAAGGCTAGTATTTAATAAGTGTATTATAAAGAATTTTCAGGTATCAAGAAATGTTATGCTACCTATTTTATTGTATATTATTATTTACTAAGCACGACTATTCTTAAGTGAATATTTTGTAAGACATTATTTAAATTTGTATTAATGAATTTGTTTCATTCTAGATAAAAACTTATCCAAAATTGGAAATACCAAAAGAAACAAGCTACATTAAAAATGACAGAGGTGGTAAAAGACTACTAGTTATTCTTTTAGCCTTGTTATGGGGTATGGAAATTGGTTTTAAATTTGCTTCTCGAACTGTCATATATTTATTAAATCCATGCCATGTAACTACTTTAATACAAGTGAGTAATATCTTTATATTGTATAGATCTTTACTAATAATAATGAGATCTTTCGATAAAAATTTTTTTTTTTTTTTTAATTTTTGGATAAAATTACCTGCTTTTGTTTTGCAGATATATTTACTAGCTGCACCGCCAAGCAAGACAGTAACTGCCCTTTTTCGTATTCATTTGAATTTATTAAATGGGCCCCTCTTAGCATTTTTATTTCCAGAAACAGCTTCAAGAACGGTATATGTTTATTTTAATCAATATTATTATTTGAAATCTGACATCATAGGGAAACTTTTTCAATAGCGATTGCGATGTGTTATAAGATTTTGCTCTTTAAAAAAGTAACAATTGTGATAAAATTGTTATGGGACCAAAATAAAGGCAAATTCAGTTCATTGTAAAGACAATTATCAAAATCAATTCTGAGTTGATAAAGATAATACCAAACATGCTCAAAAATATAAGCGGAAATCTATTCTTTATTAAAGTTGTTTAAAAATGAACCTTTTTTATTTATTTATATCGTGTTATACAGGGTGAAATGTTAGTATCCTTTAAAGAGGAGTAGTAGTATATTCTACTAGTGAACTGAACATTTTCATCAAAGAAACATGGATTAAAAAATAATAAATAAAATTAAATCTTCCACAACATATAGTGACTCGTCCCTTATTTAAAAGGGAAAGTTTGAAATTTTTTGTTATTTTAAATTAATAATTCACAGAATTTTTGTTCTAATAAGTATATTTCATAGTATGGGAAGATTCTTAGTTTTACGTTCTGTTAATGATTTCAATTTCAACCTGTATGTATTTTTGGATCCCATGTCTTAGTGTTTAAAATTGAAAAAGTTTCCTTAGTGTTGTAAAGTGATGTCAATATTGGTCTTAGAGCATTTATAAAAGGTAGGATCGATAATGCTTACAATAAACTCTGCTATTATTTGGAGGACTTTGTATATTACCACATTACATTGAAGAGTAATGTAATTACGCTGTTAAGAAATTTTTTCTTAGTTTTTGCCACATTGAAACAACACTATCTATTACTATCATCAGCAGACATGAAAAGCATCACCGAAGTTACACTGTGATGGCCTTAGCCTTTGCATTGCCATTTTTGAAGATTAAGGTATACGTAGTACCTTGTAATTTCACTGCCTGAAAGCGTCATGCTTTCAAAAGATATATAGTCTACTATGTATTCTGTAATCTAACAATCTAATTGATAAAAATAACGGTAAACTCTAATTCTTAACATCTGTAAAAAAATGGAGCCAGACAACTAGGCATTGTCATCATGATCGTTTTCATTCATTAATACAGTGCAATTTCGATAATTCGAACCTCGATAAGTGAAAATCCTCGGTAGGTAATATTGAAACTGTCCCAAGTTAATTTTTTTTGTGTTAAGGCGGATAGTGTTCATAATCACCTACGTAGACATAGTTGTTTTAGTACTATGACAGACAATGCTTCTTATAATGTATATATCAAATGTTCTAGGATATTCATTATTGTTATTTTAGTTTATTAATGATTCCATTTTTAATAATATTTTTTTTTAGATCCTAGCTGAAGCTGCGTTATATTGGATACAACATGGAATGATGTTTGTAATACCCTATTATCTTTTAAGAATTGGTGGTACGTATAATTTAATAATTACTAACATAATTATATTATTTTCGTCTATTATAGGTGTTTTAGAAGGATCCACCTCAGAATTGTCTGATACCCATCCCAAGATACGAGCAAAGCGTTGCCGTCTGAGAGTACATATGGGCTTTTTTAAGGGTTCAGCCTCTCCTTGATATTGATAATGTAGTATAAATTAAAACGGTTATATTTCAGATAAAAATTTTGTTTACTATTAAATTATAGTAATGAATACATTATATTCTCTATATCGATCTCTACGCTGTCTCTTCTGGAAATAATCGCGATAAATTTTTAAAATCGTTATGATGGACCAACTGACCTCCTTTCATCCTCACTTGTCATCGCTCACTCGAGTTATTATTCATTAATCATCATCAATCGGTCACAAACTTGCGCTATATATAGGTACGGATCGAATCATGCATTTCAATTACTGGGTACCTACATAACATTTCCTCGGCTCGGCATGCTTAATATTAAGACGATTGAGATGATGATTAAGATGGCCCCAAAACTAGTCGAGCATTTTCGCCAAAAATACATACGAATCAATCCAGTTGGTGTTGCAGGTAAAATATAATGTGCTCTTATAAAAATTTTAACAATTAAATTATGTAGTTTTTTTTTATTATTGTAATAAAATATTTTTTCAGGTGTTTATAATGTGGAACCACTATGGGATTTCAATTGGGCAATCTTCAGTTATAGTTTAAACCTTTTGTACCACTTCATTGTGTTACAAATTATTGCAATCGTAAGTATTATAGCAGATAGGATTATAATGATACCAAATTTAAACATTTAAATCTTTCATAAAATCGCATATCATGTGATGCTTTAATGCGAAGGTTGAGAAATGTTGTTCTGTTTAGAATATTTCATGAATGTTATTAGCGGATTTTGGTTCGGATTTGCGATATACGCTTTATATAAACTTCTGTGTGTTAAATGTTAAATGTCAGTGTGTTATATCTATAAAGTTATTGGTATGATAACTGAGTAACAATATAATGTTTCACTCCTCATTATAACATATGATAATGGGGCAAGTAAGGGAAGATAGCATAAATAATTATTAAAAAAATTTAATTAATTTCTTTACCGAACTACCTTGCTTGAGTTAAAATTATAGTTAAGTATCCTTTTGTAGATTTTATGTACATAACTTTATATATTTTAACTATCTGATCCAGCAAACGTTGTTTTGTCCCCCACCGCCACCTACCGAGACCATTTTTTCTTAAAAGTCTGTTATCTAAAAAATAAAAATATATATATATATATATATATATATATATATATATATATATATATATATATATATATATATATATATATATATATATATATATATATATATATATATATATATATATATATTTAACATATTCGAAAATAGATATCCTATCAATATGGATGATATCGATATTTTTTCCCGCCTATATATATAAGGTTTCTCTGGACATTCCCGAATATATGGATATCGGATCGGTATCTATATTAGCCTACAAACTACACATTTACAAGATTTTATTAAAGCGTGTTGAGCAGTAATTTGTTCACGTTAACCTACCTATAGGTTAACGTGAACAAATATTATCTGTATATATTGAGATTTATAATTATGTATTATCCGATAATTAATAATAGATTTCATTTGTTTTAGCCTGCCCAAGTGAACTTAAACCACATGCTCTGTCCAGCTATACTGGATCCGTTCGACGGGCCGTGGTATCGTATCGCAGCTGTTATACATCAAGCGTTACTCTGCCCACTGCTGTGCAAAACATTCTGCATTATTGCAGACTTTTGTCTTACGAAGTTCCCGCCCACTAAAGTGAAACCTCACATGAAAGATAACTTGCAAGATCTCAAACTTGATGACCAGATAAAAGAGCGACATGACGACTAGTGGTTGTATATTTCTCTTTAAGTATGGCTGTTATCCCTTTCAGGGTAGCTAGAATTTATTGTATAAAATTGCCTATTGTAGAAAAGAACAATATTTCATCGCGTCCATTTAGTTTGAGTGATTATTGTAGGAGTTAAGATTGAACAATAATTTATTTTAGGTTATAATGAAGCTGATTTATAGAAATATCAAGATATGAAATAGTATAATGCACGCAAATTGAATTTCTTGATACCAATGCGCGACACGTGTTATTGTAGTAGTTTTATTGTTATGTCACAGCTATTTCTACATGTTGGCCGTATGTTTTGGGTTCGATCGTATAGGATAGGCGGTATGGGCTTGTCTTACTGCCATTATTTCATTGGTATTTTTAAAATATTATATTTTCAAGTTTATTTAGTATCGCTACCACCGAAATTGCATACTTTATTAGGTATGCAATTATTATACAATTTTACAATCATGAATGGGTTATGAATAGACAATATCTAATTTATTATTTACACATTTTCGTAGTCATTAGGAACGTGTTTGCCAGTTTTAGGTCTGATATCAACGCATTTAAAATAATTAAATTTAATGTAATATTTATCTAAAGCTTTATTACTATTAGCAAATGCTGTGAATTATAACTTTCTATTCTAATCGAGCCATGCCAAATCAACCAAAATCATACATTGGTGATAGGACTTATCGACGAATATAAAATTTGAACCAATTTGAATGTATATGTATACATTGTATATATATACATATATATACACTGTATATTAGCGGAGGTACTGAGGTATGGACTCTTTAACTAAAATTTAATTTTAACAAAAATTAATTGAGAATCTCAGGTATCTGGAGATTTAGTATTTTACATTTATTTAAGGCAGTTTATATATATATATATATATATATATTATATATATATATATATATATATATATATATATATATATATATATATATATATATATATATATATATATATATATATATATATATATATATATATATATATATATATATATATATATATATATATAATGTTTAGGCTGTGAATGGTCCTAAACTCTTATTTTGCGATTGGATATAAGGTACTTTTGTTTTAGTTTACCAATACCAATTACCAATGTAGAGATTCTCTATGTTACAAAATGATTGTCTCTACAATAACAGTTGGTATATTCGTGCTGAAACTCGAAGTCAGTGATAATGAAAGCAATAAAAGACAAATGAGTCAAGTACATTGCAAGTGGGGACAAAAATATGGAATATATGTTAATTTAAGGGTACCTCATTGGACTCAAAATAGTAAAATTACCTAAAAATTAAAATAAAATAACCCTTTACGGAACAACAACATTATTTATATTTACTATGCCTGTAATCGATAAAAAGTACTACAAATACCCTAGGGAAAAATGGAAATAATATCAATAAGTAATAACTATTTAACACGGGATTATTGTAGTACATACTTGTACATAATTTTTCCGAACATTCATCATAGAGTGACGAGTGAGTGAGTTCATCTCTTCTCTGTGATCTCTTTAAATGTACATATGTTGTTGTCGTTGTTTGGATGTTTCAACACTCAAATATCGCTTTTATTTATAAAAAATTGTTTTAAAGTATTGGTACAATTACGATTCTCAGAAACTCAACAGCACCGAGATACATGCTTAACACTTTGAACGATTAAAAAAGCAGATTTCGATATCTAGTTCGTTGTTTAGTATTTTAATTATAAAAATGGTCTGTTATTTGTTAACCTACAACATGAAATTTTAAATCAGCTTGTTTTTGCCTTATAATTTTATTCGACATAGTTGCTATGTTGCAGATATTAAGATATGACTGCATAAAAAGTTAAAAATTAAAATAGGGTAGTGGAACCAATAAATTAATACTTAAGCCACTTTAGTCACTTTAAATAAATTTTTTGCAGGTTTTATTACGGTTTTATCTTTCTTAGTTTAACTTCTAAGCCATATCTGATAAATATTTAGAAGTCGAACTAAAAAAAATTATACAACATAAAAAAAGGAAGTTAACAAGCTAAAAGTTTTCTTTATGTATTCCCATAATCAAATACCGCGTTTGTGCTTCACTGTTCATCCTCAAGGTTGACTAGTAGAGAATGCTACTAACATTAAGTCCTCTTTTTGTACCTTATTTTATTTTGGTCAATGAAATTGTTTAAATAAAAATAATAACCAAAATAACATATAAATTATATATATATATATATATTTTTTGTTACTAGCTCTATAATAAAGATAAGATGCTTATTAGGACTTTCTGTCAGCGTACAGATATAATCTATAAAGATAATTAAGTATAATAAAGATCACTTTGCTTATTACTTCGAACGCTGTTCAACTTTTGATAACCATTGGCATTTGGATATCAAAAATTATTATGAAAATAAAAGCATTTGCCGACAATTCTATTTAGTTGGTTGGCACATCTCTCTTCTGCGGGCTGAATGTGTTTCCAATTAGGTCCAGCACGGAAGGAATACTAACAGCCGGGTTGTCAACCATATTTTTTAAGCATACATGCCCGACATATGCCTCCGGCTGTCGATTTATAGAATCCTTCCGGATCAAGTTGTATTTTTTCAACTTATTAATAATTGAAATATAAATACTGCAAATTTATAATAAAATCGAGGGAATAGAGGTAATTGAAATTTTACATTAATTTAAACTTGTACAATTGTGAATATGTTTGGAGGGCATCTTAAATAGGCGCAAACCGCAGAAATAATGACTTGTAGGTTTGAGCCCTAATTGTAATTCTTTTTTTTTTTTTTTAAAGCGGCTTAAATAGTATATCTGCTTCTGAAAAATACAGGACATTTGCGTAAATACTACGTAATTCTTATTATTTTAAAATTTCGGTTATTTATTCAACAATTTGGAGGTGTCCATCTTTTGGTACTTAGTACCACCCTATTTGATACTTCAAAATAGGTATGCATAGGTAAATGACAGGTTCTTTCCATGATTATTTATTCCGTGTGGCCGCGGTTACGCGGAGTTTTAATTGTGTAGGTATATCTTAATACTAGCGATCTGCCCGGCTTCGTATGAGTATAGTGTAAGGTACATTTTTTTTTTTAAATAAAATAACCCATGTTACTCGTTGATAATATAGCTTTCTTATAAATGAAAAAACAGGTTATTTTTTTTTTTATTTCATCTATTACACATAAAATAAAAATCTTTCCACTTTATAATATAATATTAATTTAGATAATTTCGTATATTATAATTTCAGAAATCTAAAATTTTCATAACAAAGTACAAAAAGTACCAAAGTTTAAACATGGTTTAAATAGTCAAAATACAAAACATATAAAGGCTTCTAAAGTTAACTATACGTTCATAATCGGATAAGTAGTGTATTGTTATTATGTAGTATTTTTTCCTGATATTGACCATTTTCACATTTATAGTAGGTTAGTATACCTTATAGAACTTTCAGTAATATAATCCATCGGTATATTAAATAATCTTTATAAACTTCTATTAGGTCATTGGATATTTTGAATTCAGTGAATTTTGATTTTGATTGTATTCTAATTTTATGTATAAACCTACAGGACTCATAATTACCTATAGTGGCAAGTCAAGTCCTTGCAGGACAAGTGTTCAGTATTTATATTACCCATTGCTTATTTACTAAGTTCATAAAACTACTAAGCCCTGCTTAAAAAATAAAGAAATGTTTATTATTATTATGTAGTTTTATCTATCTTTATGTCGAGAACCTATATGTGGATCTTCTGCTATATTCATTTTTATAGCTTGACTCATGACTACTTCATCAGATAGCTTACGGTCTATCTGGATCATATATTTAGTCTAGATCTCCCCTAGATGCAGAACAACGAAAGTGGTAAGATGCAAGTAATATTACCACTGACGCATTATGTTATTGTTGAATCAACCTTTCATCTGATGTACATATTTTTAATATATGTAAGTAGGTATTTCAGTAACTAGAATAGCATAGGTTGCATTTAAAAGTATTCTTCTATTCCTCTCTAAAACATTCACGTTATAGCTAAATTTTCTTTTTAGCATTGATCGAATTAATGTAGACCCTATTTTTCGTTGTTACCCAAAACGTGCGATGATAAGTTGGCCGCCGGCAACATTTCGAACAATTCCTCAGAAAACAATTCATTATATTTGCGGTAAAACATACAGAATAAAGTCTCGTTTTAGATTTAAGGCCTCGATACCGCCTGTGAGCTTGGGATTGTCTTCAATTTTTATAGCACGACTCTAAATTGATTGCGGAACTTCACAAAGCTAGACATATCGACACCAAAGTTCCACACAATTTTCAATATTACTGATCGATTTTGTAAGAAGACTGTGATAGATAACAAACTAAAAAGTGACACAAAAAATTACCAATAATTTTTTAGTTATTTAATATTTGGCTTTTAAAGTTTTTAAATACTTTACTTGTTATATTTAAATAAAACTTAATTAATTGCAAACATATTTATTAACATCAAGAGAATGAACAAAGGTGAGAAAGCAACCGGAAGATCCGCTAGTACATACATGTTAACTAATGTCATCTGTCAATTAAGATGCGTTCCTTTATACATATTTAAACTAGGTACGTTCATCTTACACCTCCCCCTTCAACTTTAAAACAAAACTTTTACAATCAATTACAAAGTAAAAAAAACATTTTACAAAATTACATTATAAATTGAGTCTATCTTTAGGTTTTATAATTCTTCCACTGCGAGTGTGACATGCTTTATGAGGGATATTTGATTGGTTACTATTTTCAGATACAATATTTGGCACATTATTACTAACTTTGTCATTTAAGGAATAATCAAAAAAATCTCTCTTAAAACTATGTGTTTTTGTGTTTGACCTCTTAATGTGATGAGAAGTGCGCCTAAAGGGCTTACAATTTTCTCCCCTACTGATCCAATATGATCTAGGTTCTTTAGACTTCTTAATAACTACTCCTTTTTTCCAATAACTATCATGACCTGTCCTATAAGTTACATTTTCTCCTTCCTTAAAATTTGTTTCACCCTTCCTTATAAATCTATCATGAATTTTTTTAGTTATAGATTGTTTCACAGTTAACAATTTATGAATATTTTTCTCTATTTTAGGTTCTAACATGCTTTCTGTAATAGGTACACAAGTTCTCAACTGTCTACTCTGTAATATTTGAGATGGTGATACTTCTAAACTAGATAAAGGTGTACAGTTATAACTTAATAGAAAATCTCTATAATCTACATTATCCTCCCTCGCTTTCTTTAATAGATTTTTAGCAATATTTACTGCCTTTTCTGACATGCCGTTACTTCTAGGATAGTGAGGGCTACTGGTAGTGATACAAATATCTTTAGATTTATAATACTGAATACATTCATAAGATTTAAATGGATTGTTATCTGCTATAATTTCAGTAGGGTAACCAAACCTTGTAAATACTTCCTGAAAAGCATTTATAACAGACTTTGAACTTTTATTTATTATTGGTATAATTTCCAACCAATGTGATAGATAATCCACAACAACAAGGTAGGATTTCCCTCCATACTCCATAATATCAGAACCTACTTTTGAAAATCTTAATTTAGGTATCTTATGCATTAACAATGGTTCATGAGTATTTGCAGATTTAAATTTCTCACAAGTTCTACATTTAGATATAAAGATTTGAATATCCTGAGACAATTTCGGCCAATAAAATAGCTGTCTAGCTTTTTTAATACTTTTACTTATGCCTGGGTGACCAGAATGAACTAAATTTAATACATATAATTGTAAAGATTTAGGAACAATAATTTTGTTAGTATAGAACACTAAACCTGATTCTACATAGA